CCTATAAGGCCCAGCTAATGAAACATCATATACACACCCCATCTTCCCCCCCCCTTTTTTTTTTTCCACCTCCTCCTTCCAGTTCTGGGGAGAATTCTTCCCTTCAGACTTCGCTAAGATAGTCACGTGGAGAGGCAGAATATCTTGTCTTTCTGTTATTCACTTTGTTATTGAAATACTATGAGTTGCTATGGTTAGATTCATCAATATTTCCATTATAAATCTTGTTCATGGACTTCTGAAACTGAGCTCGGCTAGTGTAAAACAAACAAAATCTTAAGTGGGGGAAAAAGATTTCATGAGCATACTCTTCCCTAATTATGAAATAGGATAGGCTTGTCCAGGATTTGGTTATGCAATTGGGTGGGAAACTTGCCGCAGTTGGGTACTGTCAGATTCTTAAATGTTGTCATTTTTAAAGGTTTTATTTTAATTTATTTTTAAAATGAAATTTAAAGGCAAATGTAAAATTTATTGATGATGTTAAAGTCTTTTGGAATCCTATTCTTGAAAACAGATAAAGTGAAAATCATTAAAGGGAATCCAGCTGTGACAGCTTAATAGGTTAAAGTGATTCACTTTCACTTGATTAATTGTTGTGCTGTCCCTTCAGAGGCATTTACAATATCAACTTAATTGCACGTGCTTTCTGTTTTCTTTTGTTTCAGACACTGTCACTCTGCAAAATGATGATTCCAAGGATTTTCATTTTCTGTACAAAACATGGAGATTGTGAGCTGAAGTAAAACGTTGGCAGAAATTTCTTGAGGATTTTGCCTTTTCTTTTTCTCTTCGAAGGATAATGTTTACAAGAAGTTGATACCATCAAGCGACACTTTTCTGAAATAAAATAATTTTCAAAAAACTAAGAATAAAGCTGTATTTATGCTCAGAGAAAACTGGATTAACAATGAGGCCAAAGACTTTTCCTGCTACGACATACTCTGGAAACAGCAGACAAAGGTTACAAGAGATTCGAGAAGGTTTAAAGCAACCATCCAAATCTGCAGGTCAAGGACTACATATTGGACCAGGCAGTGAAACGTCTCTGGACCCTAAGATTTTAATGGGGAAGGATGCTGCAAGGCAGCAGCAGATGAGACAAACACCTAAGTTTGGACCGTATCAGAAAGCTCTGCGAGAAATTAGATATTCTTTGCTGCCTTTTGCTAATGAGTCGAGCACTACAGCGGCTGTTGAAGTAAATAGGCAGATGCTTCAGGAGCTGGTGAATGCAGGTTGTGATCAGGTATGTGTGAGTTTGGAGGGGGGACTGTCGCTGCCTTCTAAACAGTTTGTACTCGGGACTGAAGAAAGCATTCTGGTGGAAGTTACCGAGTTTGCTGGTTGACAAAATGCGCTGATTTTCTGGCAGACTGACAGAGTAGATGGACTTGGTTGAGAGATGTGCGTAGTATGGGATCAATTCATGTGAAAGACGGTCATGGTGACCTCTAGAATTCTCTTAGATTTCTGCAGTTGATGGATAAGGCTGAACAGGGTAGCTTGTCTTTTTTTTTTTTCTTCTGTTTTCTTTTTTTCCCCTCAATACTGCAAGAAGCCTTAGCTGTTGCTATTAGGGTAGAATTTTGACTAGCACATCTAAAAGTTCAGTTCACTGTCACAGGGATCTAGAAGAAAGACAGAGACAGTGTATGGTCTCTGAAGAAGCTCACTTTCTGTGTGAGATAATCAGAACTAGAGTAGGTTGCAGCTCCAGTGAGAAGTGCTGCAGCACAAATAAACACTTCCTAGGCCAGTGAACCAGGGTGCTGCACTGAAATATTTAACTGGAGGAACCAAGGGTTTTCTCTGATGTTAAGCATGCCGTGAAAACACAGTGTTTTTTAGAACTCTACCCTCTAAATTTCCCTGACTGTTTAGGATGAGAACACTCCCTGTACGTATAAGCCAAGGTTAAATGAGCACAGCTGGATTCTGGATTGGAAATGGGCGTTTGGTAGGTTATATGGACGAATCATTGACACACAGAACAGGCTTGTTGGACTGAAATCTTGGAAAGTACTTGGAGCACACTGAAGTGTTAAGCCAATGTATAAAACAGAAATACCTGAGCACCTGTTAAAATGCCTTGGCATTAAAGACAGTGTAATGCATTAATATATGTAAAAATTTTAATATCTTAAGCTATATTGACTTCAATGTTCATACAATGGTATTGCTTCTTATAAAGCACTGAGAGTGAGCCCTGGGCATCTGACTCTGATGTGGAGATTCTTGCTGCCTCCTTAAATTTGGCTGCACATTTTTTGGTTGTGTTTTGTTGTTTTTGTTGTTGTTGTTGGGGTTTGGTTTTTTTCCCCTTCACTGGCCATGATCCTTCTATCCTCACATTCAGATTTTCTCCTTAGCTGTGACTTGTTGCCTGAAGTATTATTTGGCCTGTCCTTTAGGTGTGTTTGGCATTTAAATCTAAGCATGAACAGGATCCCATTTGGCTTGAGTCCATCGAAGGGTTCCGAAACTGGAGTCTTGTGGCTGAAAATGCTGGGTTTCCTAATGCGGGTGCAGGCCATGTGAAGGTGAGCTGTTCTGGAGGGCTGCGAATGAATGGAGCTTCTTGAGGTGGTGTGAACGGTATCTGGCCCTGGGGATGACATGGTGCAGGGTGACAGACTTGATTACTACCTCTGGGTTCTTCTTTTCCTCCTGGTGCCCGAGCTGTTTTGAATCGAATGCTGAAGTGTTTCAGAGCACGATGTGTAGTAAACCAGCCATCCCATCTGTGAACTCCGTTTTCAAGGTGGATTTGGGCTGTTGCTTTTTGGTGTTCTAACCTTGTGGGTAAATTCTGGTGGACGCCATGCAAAGATGGGGATTCTTCTTCACTCTGTTTATTGAGCCACAATAAGGATTTTTTGAAGGATGCAGGGGAGCAGTGACAGTTAAGAAGGACAGAGTATAAATTTTAAAGGCTGAGGAAAGGATACTTTACTTTTATTAGTTCCAGCATACCTGTAGCATGGTTAGATTTTAACAACAACCATTTTGCGTACTACAGGAGATGTTGCCTATTAGGTAACATAAAGGTAGGGTTTGTAGCTCACTGTTCTGCCGAAGTGACTCTAAAATTGGTTTAATTAAATAAAAAGGAAACAATATTTTATGACTTTATTCTTGCTCCATGAAAGACGCGTGCAGACAGGAAATTGGTTATAAGCTGGTTGGTAAACTTAACAAGTATATAAAATGGAGTGTAATTCATGAAGTAAATACAAAATTCTTGTGTCTTTCAGCTACAGTCATCATAGGTGTTATAAGTGAAAACATTTTAAAAAAAATTATTAGGAAGTTGCCATTGTCCTTTTAATGATCCATATACTTTCACAAAGATTTCTTTTCAGCCATTGCATAGTTTATGATTTTATAGTGAAATCTGGCTTCCAAAACTTAATGGAGATTTTGCCATTGACCTGAAAAAAGCCAGAATTACACACTTTTTTTTTCTTTTAAGAGGTACAAACCAAAATTACATGCATAATTAGTCATAATTCTTCTCAGACAAATAGAGTAACTCATCTGTTGTTTGCTTAAGTCATATTTTCAACAGTAATTATTTAGCAAGTTCCAATCAACAGTAATTAGTGCAGCATAAATAGTTTTGAACTTGTAGAACATGCCTGCAAAGGGCTGGACCATTTTTGTTGCAAAAGCTTGAAGCCAAAAACACTGCTACTATATACTCGTTAGTAAATATAGTAAATATAGTTAGTAAATATTTCTGTCCTCTGGGACAGAAATGTAACTTGTAGTCACTGCAGAGGGACAGGAGCGTGGACTTTGTCCTGCGGGGTGGCGAACCCCTGCGGGGTGGTGAACTGCTGGAATCACCTGGGGCAGCTGGATGGCGTTTGGGGTGTGGTGGTAAATGCAGCTGCTGTTGCGGATTGAATTTTTCTCATGAATAGATGCGAATGAGCATATGATCAGTGCCATTCCAGCAACCTGAATGGGCTGTACTGTACTGACTGTGCTTCCTCGGAGCACAGACAGCCACTGACATTGTAATTTAGAGTGGGCTGCCACAGTTCTGGATGCACTGTGGGGCGTTACACACTTGTCATTTCCCCCCCTCAACCCGCCCTCCCCACCCTGGCAAGGATGCCTTTTCTGGGTGAAGATTTCTAGACATAATTTGTTTGGGCAGCTGTATTTTTAAGGAAAAATGACGTTTTAGGATTCTTTACAGGCTATGTACCTCCAGTGGCATGCATCATGTACTATACACTGAATAACTATGTAAATTATGTGGAGAGGGGAAGTCCTTACGCTTCATTTTTTCCAGAGGCTTTTATAAATATCTCTATAATAGAATATGTACACCCTACCTGTGCCAGTATCAGAGCATTCCGAAGGGGAAGATGTGTCCTTTGGACACTGATTATAGTCCCTTTCAAGGGAGTGGAATGGTGTTTGTGGGTCCTCTAATATCTCTAAGAGTACTAAGCTGACCATCTTGTCATGTGTTACACCTTGTTCCTGGACTTCACATTGTTTAAGTGGGATGGTTTAGGTGGGAGCTTTTTTTGTTTGTTTGTTTTAAAGTTATTCTTCTTGGATTTCTGGATTCTTTTGGTCTCTTAATCATGGTTTGCATCCTTTTTATTTAACCTATTTGGTAAAGATTTACCCTGATTTGGCAACTACCGCTTGATTTTGGGAAACGTTGAGAATGGGGAATACAGTATTTCTCTCTGTTTGAACAAGTATTTGCACTTCTTTAAGTGAGGAAAACTCGGCTATACCAAATAGAGCTTGCACAGAAAGTCCTTTTTACATTTTGCATGTGGAATTACTATTCTGTTTTTTCTGTATAGGATTTTAGGTCATGGCTGTTCACATACAATCCATGTGCCATCTAGCAGCGTGTTACTGAGCAGTGAGACTTTTCATCCTATCATTGGAGCAATGAGAAGAACCAGATAAAACGGAGAGTTCTGTTATGGTAACAGACAACGCATGGCTGGAGTTTTGCCTGTAGTAAAGTATCTGTTGCAATGTATTTGTTACGAGGACAAGTCTGAAAAGACAGCTTGCCTTCACAGTGAAGGGCAGCATATTTTGTAATACCCCTGAGCAAATAGGGAAATTAATTTAGTAACATTGACCTGTCCTGTAACAAAATTTTGTCTTATGCTTGGGTAAACTTGACCTGTGTTAAGAGTTCTGCTTGCCCAGCTATTTACCAAAACCTCCAGGATTAACATCTTAGTCATCATCTCTGTGTTTTGGGTCCAGATTGTTTTGTTAATGAAAAATGACTGAAGAATGAGCTGTTACAAGGCTGCCTAGGTTATTCTGTGGGTCATATGTTAAAGGTGCCAAGAGCCATTACAAGCCATGTTACAGGTCAGGAGGAAATAAGTATTTGTGGGTTACAAGGAGAAAAAATGAGGCCTTCAAATGAGGGCACTCGCTGCTGAATGCAAATGGATTTTATTTTAACAACTGAAGTAGATTTGGTAAATCAGGCCAGCAGTCTCTTGTGTGTTCATTTGCCTCCTCATTTGAAGGTAAAAGTTGTTCACTCTGTCTTCTTTTTGCTGGATGTGTTCAGAGCTCCTTTCATAACCTTTTTCTGTACTTTTTTCTTTCTAACCTCCCTATTTGATTTCAACCTTTCTCTCATTTCTGAGAAGTTTCCAGTATCGTCCTGTGTTCTTCCATCACAGCTTGTAAGGGAATGTGTTTTCCCACCACTGCTCCTCAAGGTAGCCCCTTATGTAATTCCAGTTTTTAGCTGCTTCAGAAGAAGTCAGTCACAGCTCAGCCACAGCTTTCCAGGGGCTGAAAGCAAGAGGTGAGGATTGATCTTGAGCTGATAGCTGCCGACACCTCTCTCTTCTATCCCATTTCTCTTCTCTCTTGTCTTCCTTTCTTCATGACACTGTCTTAGCGAATATACTTAAATCCTCTGTGTTATGGCACGGTTCCTGCAGTATATTTGAGAAGGTGGTCTTGGCTTTGTTCTGGGGGAGTGTGGCTCAGATTGTGCTCTTGTCTTGCAGAAGGGAGAAAAAGAATTTTCTCTTTTCCCTTACATTTTTGCGGTGGTGGAAATAGTCCTTGGCAGTAGGAGGTGATTGCATGTGCTCCTTCACATGACAAGATGTGGCTTCTTGGCAGCTGGGCAGTAATATGGCACTGAACAAGACTGCAATATGCTTTAAACTCTACCCTTTATTATTCTTAGTTTGCTTCCTTCCTTGGCAAACTATGGAATAAATT